TTTGTGGACCTGCCATCCTATTGAAGAGGATTGACAAGTTGATGGACTATCAGAGGTAATTGTTAACGTGATAGTTTTATGGACCTGTCATCCTATTAAAGAGGATTGGCAAGTTGGTGTACTATTAGAGGTAAATGTTAACGTGATGGTTTTGGTAGGTTATATGGTTGACAGAGGTATTCTATTGAACATGATAACTTAGAAAATTCATTACTCATAATTCAATAAACTACAAATGAACCAACTCCCAATCTTGAACAAGTGCAGGGGGGGAAAGGGTAGACGTGGCACATCGCCTAGTGGGCTACTATCTAACGAGTTTGACTATCAGAGGTAATTATTAACGTGATAGTTATTGGACCCATCATCCTACTGAAGATGATTGGCTTCAATGGCCATGGTATCTTCCCCTTCTGACTGAGAAGATTGGGCTTGGTCCGATTGTTCAGGTTGATCCTGCCTATTTTGTTCTTCAGTTTTGATCCTGACAATAATCTTTTGAGCCTGTTCGCCTTGAGAAATTAGTTATCTCCAGGAATGGTATTCTACAACCTCATTTGTGCTAGAAGGTCGGTCTGCAAGTTATGTCGATAGGTCTCCACTAAGGTAGACAGTGTTATACTTAACGAACATCGGAGAGCCATGCTTCGGAACCTCTTGACGAAGGCTTTGACGGACTCCCTCTTCTTCTGCTTAGTGGCGAGAAGGGTATGGATGGAGACTTCTGTATTCTCTTCAAAGAATCTCGACAGGAAGAATCTCTTTAGATCCACCCACTTTTGGATACATCCCACAGGCAGTTTCCTGAACCATTCAAAGGCAACTCCCTTGAGGGTGCTAATAAATAATCGAGCCAGTATGTTCTGCTTAGTGGCGAGAAGGGTATGGATGGAGACTTCTGTATTCTCTTCAAAGAATCTCGACAGGAAGAATCTCTTTAGATCCACCCACTTTTGGATACATCCCACAGGCAGTTTCCTGAACCATTCAAAGGCAACTCCCTTGAGGGTGCTAATAAATAATCGAGCCAGTATGGCGTCGTTTGATATCACATTCCCTGTCTGTAACTTAAAATGATAGATATGTTGGTTTGGTGATCCCGTGCCGTCAAAAGTTTATAGCGTCGGGACCTCGAATTTTGGAGGATAAGGTGTTGCATCCCATTCGGTAGGATAGGGCCTGACAATTCCCTCATCTTGGAGCTTACTTCTGTTAGCAATGACATTGAGGCGGGCTTCCAATTCTTCTATTTTGTCAGACTAGAGATTCTGCTCGTTCTCAGTCTCTTCTTCAGGGGATGATTCTACGTGATGAGTTTCTTGCTCGGCAGTCTCATTCACTCTTTGTTTCCCCTTTGATATGGATGATCCTCTTTTCCGGGATGATTTCGACCGAGGTTACGTCTTAGCTTTCTAGAAATTGGCTCTACTTGCAATGATCTGAGCCATCAGATCCCGAATTTGATTGATGGTTTCCTGCTGTGCTCGGTGTATGGTGTCCTGCTCAGCAATCCTCTTTGCAAGGTCTTCAGAATTTTCTATCATGTGGGCGAAGCTCTCATGTTTAACGAAAGAACTTGATGATTGAGACTCCGCCATGGCTGAATGTTCGTCATCGAAATTGGTTCCTTTGACTAACCTTCGATAGTTGACAGAGGGAATGGCTCCTGTTCACGTCCGAGTGCGTTGGTAGATTCCTTCAAACTCGTTAGCGATTTCTCTGATGCGTAGAGAACGATCCATCTCTGACTCATCAGAACTAGGGACTGACGACTTCCCTCTACCGATCACATCGATAGTGATTCTGGGATACTCGGTCTCTAAAGACTTCTTCTTGTAATGACATTATCGCTTGCTTAGTCAAGCAACGCTTGTCAATCGGTCGAACACTGAATGCCTAGGAACAGAAGTACAACATTGGCATTCTGAGAGGATAGCAGAAATATGCCACTCACATTGACATGAATGAGTGGCTTGTTGCACCGGTCTTTCCCTTGAAAGTAACTCTCTTAAGCCAGATACCTAGGGAGATTTTCTCACAGAACGTGAGGTTGGAGATGGAACCCCCTACCTCTCAGTGGGCGGGACTGGTTCTTGTTTAACATGGATCTTGAATCTATGTTGATCTTTTTGAACACGACGAATCGCATCATGTTCTAAAGAAGGAACACGAGGGTCGTGTTCTGTTTTACTAACGCTAGACCAAAGTCTATGTTTTGTTGATGAAACGCACCTTTGTCGGTTGCGTTTTTCTTGGTTAACGCGGTTCATAAGTCTGTGTTTTGGATCTTGAACGCACTCTTGAGAGTTGCGTTTTGAAATTGAAATGCGTTCATGAGAACTGCGTTTAGATGTTGAGACGCGTCCCGGAGGACTATGTTTTGCTTTTGAAACATGCCCTTGAGGGATACATTTTAAGCTGAATATGCATGGCTCATACTTGGGCTCATCAACGCAACTCTTGCATTCTAAAGCAGCACAGAGTTCGTGTTGAGGTTCACAAACGCATAGTTCACGTTGATTAGAGGATCGGCATTCTCGGAGATGTGCTCGTCGTCGGGATCTTCTCCTTCATGGAGCGGCGTTCTTCTTGTCCCATTTTAAGGCCTTTGCAGCAATGTCATCGGCGTTGACAGAGTTGGTCATCGCGATGGGCCTTTTGTGACCCGATACCCGTTGTTTTGGCGCGGATACAGAACCTTCAACTCATTGGACGAGTTTGGCAGAAGCTGAGCACACTCTTTTGGAGGGCCAGTTCGAGTGATCTTGGCTAAAGGAGAGGGCTTCCTTTGGAAATTCGGCTGTAATTGGTGCAGTTGGAGCTTTAGTCTCTTTGGTGACTTTATGGATATTACGCATAGCCTTGGGGCTAAAGGATCAGGAGGAGAGTACTACCTTATACTTGGCTTGATCGAACTCGATGATCAGAGATTCCACGGTCATTCCAGTGAGATTGACATCGGATTGCACCACCACTTCTTCGTCAGAGAAGCTAGTCCTCGGCAGAGTCGTCATCTTTTGTTTGGTGGAAAATTTGTAGTAAAAAAATGAAAGAAAATTAACTTATATTCTCTCGATTACAATTGAATTTCCTGATTACAAAAGAGAGGAGAATTAATCTAAATTCTCCCCTTTGTTTAAGTCTGGGTTCTTCACGGTGGCGATGAGATGCCTCCCTCGAATGCTCGCGTTGAGTTTGTTTCTCGTTGACGATCCGAACGTCTTGTTTCACTAGAACGTGATCTTCTCCTCACGATTTGATGCTATGGAGAACTTACAAAGTAAGTTTTAGAACTCTTCATGAGTTGATAACTCCGAACGAGTTTGAAACTCTATGAAAGAGTTGATTTAACCGAAAATCGGTTTGACAAGCCAAGGCCGAAAGCTCCAAGGAACTTTGTTGCTGCAGCAATTCCCCTCCCAAAAAGCCAGCCAATGATCTCTTCTTTGCTGCCAAAGAGAAGGATCAATCCGAGAGCCAAAATCCCCGCCCGAACTCAGTTGAGTTCTCTCCTATTTATAAGAGATTAAGGGGTGTAACCAACCCCTAAATCCACTCCAACGTGGGGAAAACGGTTCTAAAACCGTTCGACTCATGTTTGAATGAGTCAAATGCCCAAGTTGGCATTCAAGACCCTAACTCCGTGTTTTAGACTGGAGACGCGGAGTTAGGCACCCGCTGGATGTTGAAAAACACAAGGGCCGCCCGCGATTTGTTTGCAAAGAGTTGGAAACGCGGGGGTCATCTGCGTTTCAAGAACTGAAACGCGAGGATGAATTCCGCATTTTAGAAAGAGCTAATGACTTATAGCTTCTTCTGTAGAGTGTTGCAAAGACCATTGTTCAGTAATCTTCGTCTTGGCTCCTTAAAACTATTAGAGTCGTCAGATTATAATTCCCGATGTTGATTGTGAAGGCTGTTGATTAGAGCTTTCATCAGTTGTTGCGAAGGTTATCAGATTATAACCTTCATCGATCTACGTGAAAACCTTTGAATTGTAACCTTCTGGAAATCGTCAGATTGTAACTTCCATCATCGGTGTTTGATGGGGATTGGCAATCTGTTATGATTGTTAGACAGCCTACAGTGCGGAGTACTATATTCCCCCTTTTTACGTCGTAGGGGGGGTGGGAAGGCTCATCCTTGTACGTGACATCATAGCCGCCTAGTACTCTAGCGAGCTTGGCGAACTTGCAGGCGAACTGCTGATTGCTTGGATGTGCTGGCGAATCAAGCATGCAGGCGAGCTTCGTTTGTGCTGATGAACTTAGCGCTTGAGTAGACTTGACTCGTGCTGGCGAGTAAAGCATGCAGGCGAGCTTCGTTTGTGCTGGCGAACTTATCACTTGAGTGGACTTGACTCGTGCTGGCGAGTTAAGTATGCAAGCGAGCTTCGTTCGTGCTGGCGAACTTAGCGCTTGAGTGGACTTGACTCGTGCTGGCGAGTCCAGCATTCAGGCGAGCTTCGTTCGTGCTGGCGAACTTAGCGCTTGAGTGGACTTGACTCGTGCTGGCGAGTCAAGCATGCAGGCGGAATTGAGCTCTTGACGGCGGGCTCGACGAATAAAACGAGCTTGCTTGGCTCTTCTGCGTGCAGGCGTACCTACACAGGCGGTTTTTTAGGTCTTCCCGTTATTAAGGCAATTTTTAGAGCCTACACCGAGGACGTAGGCACATTGCCTAAATCTGGCGTGTTCCTTCTTGTTTATCTTTCCTGCAATTTTTTTTATTTACGATGATTTTCCTACTTGTTAAAATCTTAGCACAAGATCCGAAAGGGCACGAATTCGATTGTGTGATTCGAATCCCCAACACGTACGTCTTTCTTATGTTATATGTTGTGCGGTAAAAAATTGTAGCTTTTGTCTTACACCTTCTCCTTTAGTGAAAACATTATGCCTATTTCAAGTCTAGGATTTACACAGCTACATATATCGCTATCAGATATCAAATTAAACTTGAAACGAAGGAGATCGAGGATGCACCATATGTATCGTATATACTCATAATCATGTCTGTCATATCTTATATATACAATAAATGTATATCACTTCTTTTCTTTTCTTTTTTTGTTTCCTTCTACTCATATGTACAATAAAAAAGTTCATGACATATAACACAATATATTTGTTCTTCATTATCATTAGCATGGCTCCCCAACCTTGCAGCTAAGCGCCCCGACAAAGCGTGTGAGCCTGGTGACAAATGTTCCAGGCTTCGCTCTGAACACATCGAATCTTGAGTAATTCTTCGTGAGCTCGAGGGAGCTCCTTACCCCCGACTTTCTGAAAAAGGCGCCGTTCCTGAAAACATCGCCTTCGGTCGTCCAGTTCCAGCTCTTCCACTCCCACTCCGCTGCATAATCTCTATGGGTCACCTGAGTGCATCCACACGTGTAAGTAGCGAATTGTCCGGTTCCGGCTTTTTTCATTTCTGATTTTGTTACACAAGCGGAACCCTTTGATACTCTGTGTTATTATTATTATTAGGAATTTACTCTTAGCTTTTGTACTTCAGAATTATGTATTAACTTTTTGATACATAACACATTGATGGTAATTAGTCTTCATTGTCATCTCCTCGATCTGCATGAGACAACAGGATCTAGTTCTTGCATGACCATGTGATGATAAAGTTGTCAACTCAATTCTGAGTATAAACAGACTCAATTCTAGATAATCCTTTTAGACACGGAGATGGATTCAGGTGAATATATACTTAGTAATCTGAGGGTTAACTTAGATTATATATGTCAGAATCAAGATTTTAGAAGTTCAATTGGGGCTATAAGAGTCTGTTCGCTTCGTTGTAATTGCGATCGTGATGCGGGTGGCACTTGGACGTTATCGTAGTTTTCACAACTACCATCACATGCAGTTCAAGATAAGTTTCTTCAAAATCGTTAATTGTTCGTGATATATGGTTCTATGATATCTGCCCAAAAATATGTCCATGCGTTACCTACTATGTATAAATAAATGTAAGATACATGTGTACATAGCGCACATAATACCTCTTTAGGACCAATGTCCGGGTTAGCAGTATATCTGTTCCCTTGGCTGATAATTGTGGGATGATCGCTGCCGCCGATCGCTGAAATCCCCCACTCCGTGTAGTCGTTGTTGACGACGTGCACGAACCCGTACCTCACTCTGGGCATCCTTTGTTTGCACTTGTGACCAAAGTGGTTGAACGCGATCGTGACCTGCATGAAGGCGTCCATGGTGTGCCTCTTGTCGGCTCCGCAAAGAATCACCTTATCGTGCTCCGTGAAGTAGCTATTGGATATAGTCACTCCCGTCGACCCGTAGATCACGTCGACAAGCCCATCAGCGCCGTGCGACATCGTCATGTGGTCGATCCACACGTTGGACGCCCCGAAGATGGTGATGCCGTCGCCGTCGCTCTGTGTCCTGAGGCCTTCGTGGATGACACTGTCTCGTATTATCCCCCCGTTTTCTGATTGAATGTGGTGGATGTGGAGCCCGTGGATGATGACGTTGGAGACGAACTGGATTGTTATACCTGTTGGAAATTTAGATTATACAAGGATTGGGTCGCATGATCTTTTAATGTTCTCCTCATGAACCTAACTATTAATTGATTGATTGGTTGTACGTATTATCATAACATACCTGCCTACTTTCTCTATGAAAGTGAGAGATTAATTAGTTACCTAATTAACTACGAAGATGATAGAAGTAAGAGAAGATAAACCTCTCTTCAATCCTCTCATTCCTCTTTCTATTCTCTCTAAAATCTACATTAATTAGTGTTCCTTCTTTCGTCTAGTCATTGTTTTGCATACAGTTTGAGGTCGATCAACTCGTCTCGACGCTTACGCATAGCATTGGACTTACTGTACGTCTTGGTTGACAACGCGGTTCAACGTACATATTTCAGGGCAAAAAGTACGCCTAAGGGAGGAGACCCGTAATTTTTTTTTTTTAATTTCATCAAGAGTACCTGCGCCGTGGGCAATTTCGACACGGGCGCCTCGTCCGTCGATGGTCTTCCAGCTGGTGACAATGAGCTCTTGCTTGAGAACGATGGTCATATCTGAAGAAAATATGATCCACAATGGCTTTTCTTGGATGACTCCCCACCGGAGCGTACCAGGTTTAGGATTCTCCATGTCCTCGTCTGAGCTATCGGTAACGACGTAGATCTCGCTCTTCTTGCCCCCACCATAGGCCTTGCGGCCGAAACCCTTTGCACAGTTAGCAAGGCGCTGGCGGTTTTCGGCCCAGTCTGCTCGGCATCTCCAGCAGCGGTCGATCGGGTTGGTGGCATAGCAGGTGTTGGTTCCCACAGAGCCGCTGAGGCCCCTTCTTGTTTTGTTCTTGCTCTTGTCTAGGTCCCTGCATGTAACGTATCAGATATTATATCATACACGAACTAAAAAGATATTGCACATAGCAGTATATAGTTTAATTTACAAGGATTTTATTTTTGAGTCGAGAGAAATCATAGCCGTTCTTTAAAATACGGCAAGTATTGGATTTAAACTAAGTGTATCACAGTATTAATAAATGATTGTGATTAAAAGTATGGGTATATCTATTTCTTTTTTATAGCAAGGGGGATCTAAATCCTGATAAAATAGAGGAATTACTTCGTTTGTGATAGCTATGGAATAGCCAAACAATGTCACGTGGTCAAAGGTTAGCCTCCTGCATATTTTATTTATTATTCTTGTAGAAAACTAAGATAAAAAAAAAAAGCAAGAAAATAAAGTGTGGGCAACCTACTTGCGAACTGCTGCATTGAAAGCGTTGGTGACAGAGAAAGGATCTGGAACATAAGTGGCCTTCGCTATTACTTGAGCTTCATGCTCTCTCCTCTTCCAATACTCCTCATCAGTCTCCTTATGAGCCGATTTTGACGCCAAGGCCAATGTGAGAAATGGGACTAAAAACAACAAGGTGATAGGTCTCGAACACTCCATCTTCTAAATCTCTACTTTTTTTTCTTTTTTCTTTTTTCTTTTTTTTGATTTTTTTTTTTTTGTAAAGGTTGTGGTATTGACAGGTAAATGTCTGGCCTTAAGGTTCGACCAGACCCAGAAAAACCGAACCGAACCAAACCGAATTATTCTAGAGATGCACCATGGTTCGGCCGGTCTGCGTAGAGTAGATAATAAATGGGTGCTTTTATAGGCGGAGGGATTGCACCCTATGAATAGAGGGAGAAGGGGAGAGAATTAAGGAGGGCCAGAGGCATAACTTATAGACACACAAATACATGTACATGAAGAGAAGACTTGGCCCATGGACATGAGTGAATCTAGGGAGAAAATCCAGTTGACAAAGGAGCATGCGCAATAACAGGACACACAAAAATTTTTGAGAAATTTGTGGACGTGGTATCTAAAATACACCTAGCTAATAATGCTGCCCTATCCCTTTTTTGGGGGGAAAAAAAATTCCCCTTCTTGCTACCAGAAATGAGATCATGCTAGACTGACTTTCCTTCTCTGATGTAAAAACTTCAGAACATTTAAAAAAAAAAACTTGAATTGATTTGATCTACTCTTGAGTTTTACTCTCTGAAAATATGTATGCTTGTAAATTCTGGTATCCGTGGACATTCCCCGTACAGTAATGACCGATTGAAACTTTTCTTCGCAATAAAACTATCAGATAAACATTTAGATTCTCACAATATGCATAACTCAGTAGAGAGATTACCTCTCTAACTATAACAATCACCATTAATTAGACGACTGTAATATCTTGAGAGAGTTCGAAATGAGTACAGTTTTTTCTTCGTGATGGTTATGCCTGGAATGAATCATAAGTACTTTCCCAGGGATTACTCGATGGGTATGACCAAGAAGATTATCTTTCAATTGCCAAAAAAAAAAAAAGAAAAAATCAAGAGATGATACAAATTTGTTAAAAGTATGATAAGTATTATACTGCGAATCGCTAGGTCCATAAACAAGAGTTCTTTGACTTTGTACAGAGTTGGAAGATAATTTAAGAAAGGGTCTGTCGTATATATGAGGATATATCCGTGGTATTTTGGCTGGATAGAGTATACTTGTGGTATCAAAGAGTACTCTTGAATACACCAAATGGTGTTGTTTCTTGGCTTTTACTTCATTAATTAGTGTTTGCATTCACACGCATGGGTGATTCTTGTGCATACGGTTTGGGGATTTTTGAACTGCTATCTTGCATGTTGGCAATGGAAACATCATGACTTCAATCATAATTCTAAATAATATTTAGATGGTTACTATATTCAAGTTGATATAACTAATACTATTATTTCTAATTGACTATGATTCAGAAAAAGTGATGTCTTTACTAGTAACCATCGCAATCTTCACACTACTGCATACCGCCAAACATTCCAAAACACAATTGCCAAAGAAAAAGCATTTCGATTGATTTTGAGAGTTACAGACCTAAATAATGAAAGAATCAAATAACATACAACAAAAGCTATCTCACATCAGAACCAAGTACTCCTCAGCTCTCTTTTATTTATCTCCTTTGATGATCAGGAGACAGCCTCCTCGTCAACCTCAGCACGGCTCTCCAACCTTGCAGTCAAGTGCACCGGCATAGCGAGTCAGTCTGGTTACAAATGTACCAGGCTTCGCCCTGAAAACGTCAAATCTGGAGAAGTTTCTGGTGAGGTCGATGGATCTGTCTGTTCCTGAAGCTACGAAGTAGGCGCCATTCTCAAAAAGGTCGCCCTCAGACGTCCAGTTCCACGACTTCCATTGCCACTCAGCTGCATAATCCCTCTTGGTCACCTGAATTCAGGCATGTATGCATTCACTGTAATTAGTAGTAATGATGATGACCATGATCAAATTGTGCCAATACAATGACATTGCCACATGAATATACATCGGAGCATGCATATGAGATCTGTCGATGAATTATTTTTAACATCGGCCGGGTTAATTGTGGATAGAACGGAACCCTGTACTGTATAGCCCAATTGCGAATAGGTCCTCTAAGTTCACTCAAAGGTCTATCCACACTTGTGCAAGCAGTACAGGGTATGTATCCGCAACTAACCCCATGCATATTATACATATATATTAACACGCACACACACACATACATTATGTTAACGTATGCATACGCATGTTAATGTATACATACGCATATATATATACATGTATATGAGAGAGAGAGAGAGACCTCTTTGGCGAAAGGATTGTCAGGAGCCCTGTACCGGTTCCCCTGACTAATGATCGTAGGATGGGCACTTCCACCCACCGCATACATCTCCCACTCCGTATAATCATTGTTCACAATATGCACGAACCCGAACCTCGCCCTCGGCAACCTCTGCGTCAACTTCTTCCCGAAATGATTAAACGCCACGGTTATCTGCATCACACTATCATTCTGATTATGATCGTTCGCCCCGAACAACATGACTTCATTGTGCTCGGTCAAATAACAGTTGGATATAGTTATGGCCGTC